AACAATCATGTTGTGAATAGGTGTGAGCGATACTTGGTTGTGTTAAGTGCCTTGTCCGCACCTTGCTTTTATCTCTAGGGACATGAAGTTATTACTAATTTTTTTTTTTATTTTAAGTAGAGATGGAGTTTCACTCTGTTTCCCAGGCTGGTCTTGAACTCCTGGGCCATACCTGGCCAGGGACATGAAATTTGTACCAAGAAATTTCCCTCCCTGCCTGCACAATAGCACCTATTGATTCACCTTATCCAGAGCAAGTTTCCTTTGAATTGGCCAGTTCTTCTGTATTCATTGGATCATTGCCTCCTTCCTAACCTTCCCCACTTACCAAGAACACTGGGAGACTAATCCTTTTACATAGTAGCTTTTTGATGCTCAAAACATCACATTTAAATTTAGTTTAAAAATGTTTTAACTTTTTTTTCAAACAGAAGCAGTTGAGGAATTGAGGATTCTACCTTAGTCCCATTGTATAGAAAACACGAATTTGATTCAGGTATTATTTTTCACATTTCAGGTTTGACTTGTTCTTTTCAGAAGGCTAAAGGTGGAGGAATGGGGGCTGGGCCACTCCCTTGGAGCTCTCAGATCTATAGACAAGCTGTGTGAATGCATAGATGTAATCTTGCCACAGATACTAATACAGTGGAGATTTGGTTTATGTTACCATTATGTTCCTCTAAAAAGTTTTTCTCTCTTCAGAGCCAAAATAAAAGTGAACTACACTGTTCAGATAAGGTCACAGTCCGATGCTGTCAGTTTTACCGAGCTGGTTTCGCTGATGGTCATGCTGCAATTTGTTAGGATAATAGGGATCAAGTTTTAAATCCTCCTTCCTCCCTTTTTTCTGGAGTCTTGATGGCCAGAGTTTTTTTTTTTTTTTTTTTTTTCCCCCTGCTTGCTACTGTTTTGTGGTGTTGAAAAGTGATTTAAACCTGAGACTAACTTAAACGCTTCCTTGACCTTCTTGTTGACTGTTCATTTTTGTGCCAAGGAAGCGGCTGCCCCAGTGTGTGTCTTGCCTTCTCCGCTCATTGCTGGAAGAGAAGAGAAATGCATCGAGCAGTTCCAGCTGCTTTTCATTCATTACTTCTGTCTTTTCCCCAGGACCTGACTAGCCAGGGCAGAGTGCCTGGGTTGTGTCCAAACTTAGCACCTGCAATTGTTGGGATGTGGATGGATGTGTGCATAAAAGAGAGAATGTGTGTGTGTGTCCATCCGTGTGTGTGCACACATGCACAGGTGCAAAGGAGTTGCGGTTGCTCCATGTTCTGACTTACGGCAATTTGATTCTGCACTTGGGGTCTGTACAGTTACTCATGTCATTGTAATGATTTCACTCCTAACTGTGACATTTTTATCAAATGTGTGAATAAATAATACATAAAGATTGGTACAAAAGTGTTTGTCTTTGGACAAATGGTGGAAAAATCTTGCATATTGGGCTTGCTTCTTTCTGATCACAAAGTCGAAAAGAATTTTTACTTTTGAGACTTGGAAGGTGGAAGTGGCAGGGCTTGTTCATTCTTGGTAGATAGTGGCTGACACAGTTTGCCTAGACCATGAGCCCTTTCCAGGTGACCTACTTGGCAACTGAAAATAAACCACCTGTATCTACTTCCTTAGCTTGATACACTGATCCATATCCTTTCCCTTTAAAGAAGGATCACTTTGGAGGGAGCAGTGCTAGAGCTTCGCAGGTGGTAGAAATCGGGACAGAAGCAGACCTGCGGTCTAGGGTTGAGGAGAGGGCCAAGTCAGCGCCCTTGGCAGAGGGGCAGTTCTGCTAGCATGCTCTGAGCATAACGTGAACTTATGTGTAATTTTGCCTGTGGGAAGCACTAGGCGAACACAGAAGCACCGCAGTTGAACTGAGCTGCATAGGAACACGAGGCACACGTCCCTGTGTGGTGTACCCCCATCTGATTCCAGAGAACCGCGCGCCTCATCCCATGGTTGCCAGCCGAAGCCCTTCCATTGGCCATCCCGGCTCTGCCTCACACTCTGCTCTTTATTCTCCTCTTTCAACCTCATTTGTATTTTACCTCTCTAATTTTTTTTTTTTTCTTCTTTGAGACAGGAGTCTCACTCGCCCAGGCTGGAGTCCAGTGACGGGACCTTGGCTCACTGCAACCTCTACCTCCCGAGTTCAAGCAGTTCTCCTGTCTCAGCCTCCCTGGTATCTGGGACTACAGGTGTGTGCCACCAAGCCTGGCTAATTTTTGGATTTTTAGTAGAGATGGGCTCTCACCATGTTAGCCAGGCTGGTGTCATACTCCTGACCTTAAGTGATCCGCCTGCCTCAGCCTCCCGAAGTGCTGGGATTATAGGCATGAACCTCGCGCCCAACCTCATCTTTTTTCATTTTCTCTGTCTTTTCTCTCACTTTGTCTTCTGTTGTCTTCCTCTTCACACAGGGTGGTAGGTGTGGGAGCTGGGTGGGCTGTGCAGTGGGTTTCTGCCTGCAAAGTGCAGGTCGAGGTAGACTGCTTTATTTCTTAACCATTGACATATATGAAACTGCTACCTTTTTATGTGTCACAAAGATTTTGAGTGTTGAACACCTAAACCCATTTTTCTGTAGGCCTTGCAGTTTTTATTGGGTAGTTTTGTGTAGACACATGTTGTGAGACAGCAGCACTGAGTGTTCTGTGAACAGGAGAACCATACAATAGGAAAGTAGTGATGCTTTAATAGCTAATGTGGGCTTAGCCGTCACATAATTCACAGCGTGGTGACTGTGGGCTGAGTGTTAGTATGAGGTTTTTATTTAAAAATATATATATATATATGTGTGTGTGTGTGTGTGTGTGTGTATATATATGTAAAAGTTAAAAGAGTAAGCAACTATTTTGTATACCCTTTGCTGGTGTTTAACATCTGCTGTGTGTGCTTTCTGTTACTATATACAGTGTCACGATCATTTGAAAGTAGGATGTGCCGGGTGCGGTGGCTCACGCCTGTAATCCCAGCACTTTGGGAGGCCGAGATGGGCGGATCACGAGGTCAGGAGATCGAGACCATCCTGGCTAACACGGTGAAACCCTGTCTCTACTAAAAAATACAAAAACTAGCCAGGCGAGGTGGCGGGCGCCTGTAGTCCCAGCTACTCGGGAGGCTGAGGCAGGAGAATGGCGTAAACCCGGGAGGCGGAGCTTGCAGTGAGCTGAGATCCGGCCACTGCACTCCAGCCTGGGCGACAGAGCAAGACTCCGTCTCAAAAAAAAAAAAGAAAGTAGGATGTAAGCATCATGGTATTTCACCCCTAAATAGTTGAGCAGGCTTTTTATAATACAGATGTTCTGTGTAGCCACAATACTGTGAGCACACAAGATAAATAACAATATCACAATATCTGATAATATAATATTAAAATTTCCAAAATGACTTTTATAGCCTCCCCAACCCAAGATTAATTAAGTATCATGTGTTTCATTTGTCTTTGGCCACTTTTTTTTTTTTTTTTGAGACAGAGTGTTGCTCTGTCACCCAGGCTGGCGTGCATTGATGCAATCTCAGCTCACTGCAACCTCTGTCTCCCAGGTTCAAGCAATTCTGCCTCAGCCTCCCAAGTAGCTGGAATTATAGGTGCGTACCACCTCCCACCCCCACGCCCAGCTAATTTTTGTATTTTTAATAGAGATAGTGTTTCACCATGTTGGCCAGGCTGGTCTCAAATGCCTGACCTCAAGTGATCCACCTGTCTTGGCCTCCCAAACTGCCGGGATTATAGGCATGAGCCACTGTGCCCGGCTTTCTTTGGCCACTTTTCATCTAGAACAGTCGTCTGCCTTTTGTAACTTCACCTGTGCTTCATATAATGGAAGTAGAGGAGTGGTCTTCAAGCTTGGCTGCACTTGGGAAGCTTTGGCCTCTGCCCCCCGCCCCTCCGGACCGTTGAAACCTCTAGGGGCGAGCGAGTGTTCTGTGTACATGAACAAGCGTCAAATGTTGAATGTGATCAAAGGGAGACAAAATAGGCTAGAGAGGTAACAGTCTCCCTAGATCCGCTACTACCTGATGTAAGTTGTCGTACCGTTGGTTTCTGCTGAGTTTGAGATTAGCCAATAATAGCCACCATTACTGAGCATCTGTGCCAGGCACCACACTTCATGCCTTCATCTAATTCTATAGCCCTGAGTACGTAGCTAGCGCCTCATCTACAAAATGAGGAGAAGGCATGAAAGGTTAAGTAATTTTCTTGCTCAGGGTCACACAGGAAGTGACAGCCAGGATACAGACCTAGCTCTAACATCTCCAGAGACAGCCGGCAGCGTGGCTTAAAACTTACGTTTTTAAAACTTTTTTATTTTCCCCCTAAAGCTTAATGTTTATAAATACTGCCAGATTCTTACCCCTGGGGGTAGTTGATTTGTTTGGAAGCTTGGATCATAGCTTGCTTCGTTTTTAATTTTTTAAAATTATTTTTATTTTTTGGCTGGTGACGCAGCCCTCAGGAAATCTTGAGAATATGTGTCCCATGAGCTTGCTTTTTAAAAATTTTATTTTTTGAGGTAGTCTCGCTGGTTCCCAGGCTGGAGTGTTGTGGTGCCATCAGATCTCACTGCAGCTTTGAACTCCTGGACTCAAGTGAACTCCCACGTCAGCCTCCCGAGTAGCTGGGACTAACCACAGGCATGCACCACCATTCCCATCTAATTTTTTGTGGAGATGGGGTCTCACTGCGTTGCCCAGTCTGGTCTCAGACTCCTGACCTCAAGTGATCCTCCCGCCTAGATCTCCCAAAGTATTGGAATTACAGATATAAGCCACTGTGCCTGGCCTAGGCTGTCTGGCTTGCTTGCTTTTTGTTTTCTCAGAGAGTCCAACTGTGTCACCCAGGCTGGATTGCAGTGGCACGGTAGCAGCTTACTGCAGCCTTGAACTCCCTGGGCTCAGGCCATCCTTCTGCCTCTGCTGGGACTACAGGTGCAAGCCACCACACCTGGATAATTTATTTATTGTATAGGTGGGCTTTCACCATGTTGCCCAGGCTGGTCTCAGAACTCCTGGCCTCAAGCGATCTTCCCACCTTGGCCTCCCAAAGCACTGGAATTATAGGCGTGAGCCACTGTGCCTGGCCTAGGCTTGCTTTCTGTGTTAAATTGTATGTGGTTTACACTTCTTACCCTCTAGTTCCATCTAATATAATAGCCAGTTGCTTGAACTTTATCTCTTTCACTAATTGTTTGAGTTCTGTTTCTATGAGTATCTGGAATCATTTTTTTCTGGAGAACTTCCGAATATACACCACTCCCAGTACCACACTGTGTAATGAAGGGGTGGGGACAGGGGCCTCTTGAAATAACGTTTTCTAAAGGTATTTAATTTCAAGGTTACCAGTCTCTGAACCCACCATGATAGGACGGAAGTCTTCTCAAAGTGAAAATAGCAATAAAATCTGAGAACTATGATTTCTAATGAATAAACTTGAAAACCTTTTAAAAATCAAGCAGTAACGTGTGGATGAAAGTCATCTTAATGCAAATGTACTATCCCTACAGGCCTCAGCGGGTACTTGATACGGCATCATTCAGATAGAGCCCCCTGGCTGTCCACTGTCACGGCTGCTTTAATAACCTCGGCGTTGACTGTGGCCCACAAATACACTAAAACATTTTTAAACAGACAATTTATAAATGACTTAACTTTATTACCCACTTTTTTTTTCTTTTTTTTTTGACACGGAGTCTCGCTCTGTCGCCCAGGCTGGCGTGCAGTGGCTGGATCTCAGCTCACTGCATCCTCTGCCTCCTGGATTCAAGCAATTCTCTGCCTCGGCCTCCCGAGTAGCTGGGATTACAGGCACCCACCACCACGCCCAGCTGATTTTTGTATTTTTAGTAGAGACAGGGTTTTATTATCTTGGTCACGCTGGTCTTGAACTGCTGAACTCATGATCCACCTGCCTTAGCCTCCCAAAGTGCTGAGATTACAGGCGTTAACCACCACACCTGGCCTAACCATACCTAAAAAAGGTAGGCTGAGTGTTTGAATATGTGGGCCGGGCGCGGTGGCTCACGTCTGTAATCCCAGCATTTTGGGAGGCCAAGGCGGGCAGATCACCTGAGGTCAGGAGTTTGAGACCAGCCTGGCCAACATAGCAAAACCCTATCTCTATTAAAAATACAAAATGTAGCCAGGCGTGGTGGGGGCATGCCAGTAGTCCCAGCTGCTTGGGAGGCTGAGGCAGTAGAATTGCCTGAACTTGGTGGGTGGAGGTTGTGGGGAGCTGAGATTGCACCATTGCACTCCATCCAGCCTGCCAACAAGAGCGAAACTCCATCTCAAAAAAAAAAAGCAAAAGTATAATGTGTAGATGTTTTTCAGTAAATGCATTTTGTCATATCTTAAAATTCTGCTGGGTATGGGAGTTTAGGATTATGTTCAGCCTCGAGGAATAGAGGCTACCATGCGGCTGAAACACTCTTGTGAGTGTAGCCAGTCCAGGACTGTTACGATAGACAGCTCTGCAGTCCTCCTGGTCCCAGGCTCCTGCTATCTTCTCCATATGGCTTCCACCAAGGTGGAATTACAGTTCCATCAGAATCTGAGGGTGGGACCCAAGCATCCTGTTTTTTTTTTAAGTTTTCAGGGATCCTAATGTGCAGTAACGTTTGAGAAGCACTGGTGAAGCGGTTCAAAATAAGGACTCTAGCTAGAGTCAAAGGCTGTGTGACTTTGGACAAGTTAATGAACCTTTTTCCTCATCTGTAAAAGGAGAATGAGTACCTACCTTGTGTGGTTACTGTGAAGATTACATAATACATGGAAAGTACTTAGACTGGTGTCTGAGACATAGCATTCAGTACATTTTCATGGTCTCCTGATTACGTTTCTGGAAATTACTAGAGTTTGTCAATGCCCTTCCTAAAATGCAGAGCCCAGGGCTAGACCCCATTCTGTTCCCTGGGACATAGGCATCCCCGGGGAAGGGACTGTGTCTGTGTTCCCAGTGCCCCAGCGGGCCCAGCTTCACCTCCAGCCATCATGTCTGTTCCACCAGTGGGAAGGAACAAGGGGAGAAGAGGATGGCCTCTGCCTTTGAAGACACTTTCAATTTCTACCTATAGCCAATGGCCACACTTTGAAAGAACACCAGCTGCTGGGAAATAGTCTCGATTTTAAGCAGGTATGTGCCCAGTTAAAATTCAGAGGTGATTTGCTGGACAAGATAGGGAGAATGGAAATGGAGGACAGCTGGGAGTCTTAGCCAAATTACAGATGAAAATAACTTTAAATGAATCACTTCAAAGGACCAAACAGTTCAGTTAAAAAGGAAAAAATTGCCAGTAGATGTTTTAGAACTTTCCCTAGTCTAGAACTCAGTAGATGTAGAATTTACGTGGCATCAACGTCAAGCCAATTGGTCTGTAATTCATCCCCTTTTTGAAAACCCTAATAATCTTTGCCCATCTCCAATCAGTGGTGCCTCTTTCCTCAGGAATTTAGACATTTAGTTCTTGTTGAGGACCCTCTGAAGAAATCTGCTTGGCCTCAGTGTCCGGAATAGGACTCTCAGACGTGCTTTTTTTTTTTTTTTTTTTTTTTTTTTGAGACAGTCTCGCTCTGTTGCCAGGCTGGAAGTGCAATGGTGCAATCTCGGCGCACTGCAACCTCCGCCTCCCGGGTTCAAGCGATTCTCCTGACTCAGCCTCCCAAGTAGCTGGGAATACAGGTGTGTGCCACCACACCCGGCTAATTTTTGTATTTTTAGTAGAGACGGGGTTTCACCATGTTAGCCAGGATGGTCTTGATCTCCTGACCTCGTGATCTGCCCCCCTTGGCCTCCCAAAGTGCTGGGATTACAGGCGTGAACCACCGCGCCTTGCTGCACTTGTATTTTTGCTTCATTTCTAGATCCACTTTCTGTCCCTGCCCTTATTTGTGTGTTTTGGTTTTTTTTTTTTTTTCATTATATCTTTCTGTTTCTACTTTCTAAACATCTTGTGTCTGATATTTTTCTTGGCTAACTTGCTTCCCTCTTGGAACACAAGTGTTGTCTAGGTTAACACAAGTATCTGGCATACTTCCCATTCCCATATGCACGTGATTGTAGTTGCTTGGGCTGTGGTTCTACATCTGGAGGTCAGGATTCATTTGGAAAGTTTAGGTGATGGGAGAGGAAGAAAGTACTATTTTGGTATCCAGTTTCCTTTTGTTCCGATGTGTTCAATCTTCCCTTTCCATCAGGAGATATAGAAGTGGGCCAGGCGTGGTGCTCACACCTGTAATCCCAGCACTTTGGGAGGCCGAGGCAGGTGGATCACCTGAGGTCAGCAGTTCAAAACAAGCCTGGCCAACATGGTGAAACCCTGTCCCTACCAAAAATACAAAAATTAGCTGGGCTTGGTGGTGCACACCTGTAGTCCCAGCTACTGGGGAGACTGAGGCAGGAGAATCGCTTGAACCCGGGAGGCGGAGGTTACAGTGAGCCGAGATCACGCCACTGCACTCCAGCCTGGGCGACAGAGTGAGACTCCATCTCAAAAAAAAAAAGAAGATACAGAAGTGGGAACTATGTGGGTGCAGGTTGGGGTGTTCCCAGGTGACTCCAGCGTGGTCAGCTGTGTGCATTTCTGTGTCCCAGGAGCTGCACCTCCGTTCTGTGGGCTGGGAAACTCCACCATGTCAGAGACCAGAGTTGGTTGAACTCAGTGTCTAACAAGCCTCCCAAGAGAAAGACACATTTAGCGTTCCAAGAAATACATGCCAGCAGGATGAGTCAGGCCTCGCTAGCCTGACCAGGGTCATCTCCGCTGAAAGCAAAACACACGGGAAGCCCACTCACAGGGTGTCGAGTGATCACGCAGGCAGGTGGGCATTCGCTTGGCTCTGTTTGTCTCACTGCCACCTTCTGAGCTCGTCAGCAAGCTCCTGGGCAGCCTGGTGTTTCGTTTTGTTTTTTGAGAGGGAGTCTGGCTCTGTCGCCTAGGCTGGAGTGCAATGGCATGATCTTGGCTCACTGCAAGTTCTGACTCCCAGGTTCAAGCGATGCGCCTGCCTCGGCCTCCTGAGTAGCTGGGATTACAGGTGCCCGCCACCACGCCCAGCTCATGTTTATATTTTTGGTAGAGATGGGGTTTCACCATGTTGTCCAGGCTGGTCTCGAACTCCTGACCTCAGGTGATCCGCCTGCCTCAGCCTCCCAAAGTGCTGGGATTACAGGTGTGAGCCACCGCGCCTGGCCCTTTTTTTTTTTTTTTTTCTCTTAAAATGTTCTGTGCTTTTGGGGACTTGGGACTGTTCAGGGTGTGTGTGTATATTTCAGTTTGCGTTTCCCTATGCAGGATTGAACGCAATATTTAAACAAATGTAGTTTAATGCTGAAAGACGCTTTAGAGGGCATCACGTACAGATCTTTCATTTATCAGTGATGCTCAGAGCCCAGCATTTATTCCAAGTCACACAGCTCTTCCCTGGTCTAAAACCTTGGTCTTCTGGGATCCAGTGCATTTTCCATTTCACTGTGTAATTTCTTGACAAAGTTTTTGGAGAAATCTTTAGAATTGATCATACACATGCTGTAAAGCCTTAAAACCACTCCCAACTACCCTAAGAACACCCCGGGCGAGGAGTGTATTTGTTTGGTCATAATGAGGTGCTGTAACAAAGTACCAGAAACTGAGTGGCTTAAACAACAGAAATTTATTGTCTCACATTTTTGGAGGCTGGAAGTCCTAGAGCAAGGTGTGAGCAGGGCTGGCCCCTTCTGAGGGCAGTGAGGGAGAAGGTTCTAGGACTCTGTCCCAGCTTCTCGTGGTTGCTGGCGTGTGAGCTGCGTCACCGCAGTCCCTGCCTTTGTGTTCCCTGCATGCACATCTTGCCCACAATTCCTTTTAATAAGGGCACCAGTCACATTGCATTAGGGACCACACTCCTTCATTATGACTTGGTCTTAACTGTATCTGTAAAGCCCTGTCTTCAAATACGGTCACATTCCGAGATACTGGGGATTAGGCCTTCAGCACATGAATTTTAGAGGGATACAATTCAATCTAGAGCAAGGGGAGATCTGCAGATAACTCAATTTAAGAGATGAATTTTCAAAATCAGTGTCTGGAGGCCGCTGTCCCAGTGGAGTCCTGAAAGACTCCCAGCCCATCCAGGGTGCTCTATCCTGCAGCTTCTGTGGTGAGCAGCAGGGGGCAGGGCTGTGCCACCCACGAGGAGTCAGCCTGCCGGTGGCTGCTGGAAGGATTTTACAGCTCCTGACAACTGACAGTTCAGTGTGGGTCCAGATGGGCACCATCATCCCCTCAGAGCCTTGGTTTGCATCAAGTCCTATGAATGAAAGGGAGGAAGCGGGTCAGACGGGCACTGCCGGTGCGGGTGTGTGTAGCAGTGCACCGGTGGGAAGAGGAGGCCAGGGGTTTGTCCCTTTGGACAACTGGGAGAGTCACAGGCTCCAGGTGATGACTAAGAATGTGTTTGCCGAGGAGACAGATGGACAGATGGACATAACTAGACAGCAGCTTGGATGAGCTGCCTTTTCCCTCGTCGCCCTCCTGCTCCTGGAGGCCAGTCCAGCGTTCCGCCTAGGAAGGTGGGTTGGTCACTCCAGAATGAGCCAGGACTGCCAGGCCACTCGGAGGACCCAGCTGCCTCATGTTCCAATGCTCCTGTTATGACTCCTCCACTTCTTATGACAACTCATGATTGCTTCCTGTATTTCTGTGCCTAGGAAAGAAGGTGTGATGAGGTGATAATCAGCAAGGACTTACTGAAGGCCTTAGGACTTCCGAAGGAATTATAAAGCAGCTGGGGAGGTGACCCGGCCTGGACAGAATTGCACAGCCCGGCATCGAGAACCGGCAAAGCCTCGGTCCTGTGTAGCAGGGACAGAGCAGGACTGGGTGAGCCGTGACTCTGTTCCTGAGACCAACCGTCTCGAACGTAGTTACACCAGCGGCCTGCTGGTTCATCGCCCAGAATGTTCTGGATACTCCTTTGGATCTTGCCTTCATATGCTTTTGTTTTCTACAGTATGAATTAAGAGATTAAAAGGTAATGCACTTATGCATTTCTTTCTTTTTTTTTTTTTTTGAGACGGACTTTCACTCCATCGCCCAGGCTGGAGTGCAGTAGCACAATCTCGGCTCACTGCAACCTTCACCTACCAGACTCAAGCAACTCTCATGCCTCAGCCCCCCGCCAGTAGCTGGGACTGCAGGTGCACGCCACCAGGCCCGGCTAATTTTTGTATTTTTAGTACAGACATTTCACCATGTTGGCCAGACTGGTCTTGAACTCCTGACCTCAGGTGATCCACCCACCTCAGCCTCCCAAAGTGCTTGGGATTACAGGCATGAGCCACTGCACCTGGCTTAACTTATGCATGTCTTCTACACATAAAAATATAAAGAAAAATTACATAATCTGTACAACCCAGAGCATCAGTGTATTTTTCTCCACTTGTATTTGTACGTAACGTTTTTTCTGGCTGGGCACATTGGCTCACACCTGTAATCTCAGCATTCCTTAGTATTCTCTACTAAAAATACAAAAATAAGCTGGGCGTGGTGGTGCATGTCTGTAATCCCAGCTACTTGGGAGGCTGAGGCATGAGAATCGCTTGAACCTGGGAGGCAGAGATTGTAGTGAGCCGAGATCGCACCATTGCACTCCAGCCTGGGCAACAGAGCAAGACTCCATCTCAAAAAAAACCCCAAAAAACTAAAAAAACCATTTTTTCTCCTTCCTTGCATTTTTATCCAAATATTTGTGCGCGTAGTTTGAAAAGTCATGGCCGGGCACTATGGCTTATGCCTGTAATTGCAGCACTTTGGAAGGCCGGGGCAGGTGGATCACTTGAGGTCAGGAGTTCGAGACCAGCCTGGTCAACATGGTGAAACCCGTCTCTACTAAAACTAGAAAAAATTAGCTGGGCGTGGTGGTGGGCACCTGTAACCCCAGCTACTCCGGAGGCTTGAACCAGGGAGGCGGAGGTTGCAGTGAGCCAAGATGGCACCATTGCACTCCCTCTGCCTGGGCAACAGAGTGAGACTCCGTCTCAAAAAAAAAAAAAAAATCAAATCGTTCTTAAAGTTTGTTATGAAAACTCCTCCCACCATTTCCCCTCCCTGGGACAGCCTGTTTCACCTCCCCCAGCATTTTATACTGATATTTACCTCCAGGTCTCTAAATAATGTGCTTATACCGCCCCTCCTTGCTTTTTCATTTTAGGCATTATATGAAGACCCTTTCTTCCCACCCCGCCCCTCGCAATGACTTAGCTCTGCCTTCCCCTCCCCACCCCCTTATCCCTTCTTTCTCCCAGAGTTCTTAATTATACTGACTTAGTTACAGCGTTAATTAGCATTTACAGTATTATGAGCATGGAAATATCACAGGCAAGACACTACACTATTTTCTAGCACTACTTTTTGTTTTCCTAGAGCCGGTACTTGGTTTTTCATTTGTTTAGCTTGTTGTGGTTGTGTGTGTGTGTGTTTCTTTTTTTTGTTTTTGAGATGGAGTCTCACTCTCCCAGGGTTGTGTGTGTGTGAGTGAGATGGAGTCTCACTCTGTCTCCCAGGGTTCTCTGTGTGTGTGTGTGTGTGTGTGTGTGTGTGTGTGTATGTTTGAGATGGCGTCTCACAATCCCAGGTTTGTGTATGTGTGTGTGTGTGTGTGTGTGGTGGAGTCTCTGTCTCCCAGGGTTCTCTTTGTGTGTATGTGTGTGTGTGTGTGATGAAGTCACTCTGTCTCCCAGGGTTCTGTGTGTGTGTGTGTGTGTGTGTGTGTGTGTGTGTATGTTTGAGATGGCGTCTCACTCTCCCAGGTTTGGGTGTGTGTGTGTGTGTGTGTGTGTGTGATGGAGTCTCACTCTGTCTCCCAGGGTTCTCTGTGTGTGTGTGTGTGTGTGTGTGTGTGTGTGTGTGTGTGTGTGATGAAGTCACTCTGTCTCCCAGGGTTCTGTGTGTGTGTGTGTGTATGTTTGAGATGGGGTCTCACTCTCCCAGGGTTCTCTGTGTGTGTGTGTGTGTGTGTATGGTATCATAGGCGAGAGCCACTGGGCCGAACAATATTCTACTGTGTAGATTACCATATTTTGTCCATTCATTCATTGCTGGGCATTTGGGTCGTTTTCCACTTTGTGGCTATTATGAATAATGCCGTTGATGAACACTCATGTACACACTTTTGTAAAGACATATGTTTATAATTCTCTTGGGTATAAGTAGGAGTGGGATTGCTGGGTCATATGGTTATTACTGGTGGAAGGTATCAGAGTTACCGGCAAATCCGTATGGGTCTGCAGCAACCTCAGTTCTTGCCTCCCCGGAAGAAATAATTTGACTGAGGTCAAAAAAAGAGATCAAGGCAAATTTTCAGAGCAGGAATGGAAGTTTATTTTAAAAGTCTTTAGAACAGGAAAGAAAGTAAAGTAAGCTTCGAAGAGGCCCAAGCCGGCAACTCAAAGAACAAGTGTGATGTTTAACCTGGATCCGAGGACTTTATAGGCTCGCCCACTTCTGGTGCCTTGTGCCCCTTTCCCATGATTCTTCCCACAGGTGGGCTTCCCACATGCGCAGTGCCCTCCTTACCCTTGGGAAGTGAGCACGTGCAGTGTGTTTAGGAAGCTGTGCGCGTGCCCATCTGAGGCTTTCTTCCCTTTTCTGGTGGGGGGCCCCCAGGAGGTCCATCATTTTGTCTCTTAATGCATATATCTTGGAAGTTGCTTCTCCCTGGCACCTGCTTTTAATTAATACATTAGTGCAGTAGGTGTGGACCGTCAGGAAATGGGCTCTCGCTGGGGCCAGCTGCCAATTTATCACTGTTAGAGAGGCAATGCACTAACTGCCGAACCACCACCCGACATTCCTACTGGGTTGGGGGAGAGTCCTCTCTGCCTGGCTCACGCCTGTCTGACTACCTGTAACATGGTTACTGGATGTTTAACTTTTTTTTTTTGGTGAGACAGAGTCTCGCTCTGTCGCCCAGGCTGGAGTGCAGTGGCCGGATCTCAGCTCACTGCAAGCTCCGCCTCCCGGGTTCACGCCATTCTCCTGCCTCAGCCTCCAGAGTAGCTGGGACTACAGGCACCGCCACCTCGCCCAGCTAGATTTTTGTATTTTTTAGTAGAGGCGGGGTTTCACCGTGTCAGCCAGGATGGTCTCGATCTCCTGACCGCGTGATCCACCCGTCTCGGCCTCCCAAAGTGCTGGGATTACAGGCGTGAGCCACCACGCCCGGCCTGGATGTTTAACTTTTTGAGGAATCACCAAACTATTTTCCAAAGCAGCTGCACCATTTGACATTCACACCAGCAATTTATGAGGGTTTCACCTTCTCCACATCCTCAACAACACTTGTTCTTTATTCTACCCATCCCTGTGTGTGTGAAATATTATCTCATTGTGGTTTTGAATTGCATTTCTCTAATGACTAATGATGTTGAGCATCTTTTCATGTGCTTATTGGCCATTTGCATATCTTCTTTGAGGGAATGGTTATTGAAAACCTTCACTCAGTTAAAAATCAGATTATTTGTCCTTTTATTGTTGAATCATGTATTTATATATTTTAGATGTGTAGATATGTGTCCTTTGTATGATATATGTATTGGTAATATTTTCTTCCCTGTCTTGGCTTGCCTTTTTTTGTTGTTTTGTTTTGTTTTTGAGATGGAGTCTCGATCCATTGCCCAGGCTGGAGTGCAATGGCATGATCTTCAGTCAACACAACCTCCACCTTCTGGGTTCAAGTCATTGTCCTGCCTCAGCCTCCCGAGTAGCTGGGACTACAGGCGTGCGCCACCATGCCTGGCTAATTTTTGTATTTTTTGTAGAGATGGGGTTTCACTCTGTTGGCCAGTCTGGTCTTCTGACCTCATGATCTGCTGCCTTCGTTTCCCAAAGTGCTGGGATTATAGGTGTGAGTCACTGTATCCAGCAGGCCTTTTGTTTTTTTATGATATCTTTCAAAGAGTAAAAGGTTTTAATTTTGATGAAGTTCAGCTTATCAATTGTTCATGTTTTGTGTGTGTGTGATGTTTTTTGTTGTTGTTGTTTTGTTTTTTGTTTTTTTTTGAGATGGAGTCTCACTCTGTTGCCAGGCTGGAGTGCAGTGGTAGAATCTCAGCTGACTGCAACCTCCACCTCCTGGGTTCAAACAATTCTCGTACCTCAGCCTCCTGAGTAGCTGGGATTACAGGCACATGCCACTACACCCAGTTAATTTTTATATTTTTAGTAGAGACAGGGTTTCACCATGTTGGCCAGGATGGTCTCGATCTCCTGACCTCATGATCTGCCCACCTCGGCCTCCCAAAGTGCTGGGATTACAGGTATGAGCCACTGCACCCGGCCTGTGCTTTTTTGTGTTCTAAGAAAACTTCATCCAGTTCAAGATATAAATATTTTCTCCTATGTTTTTCTTCTATACATTGTATAATTTCAGATTTTACATTTAGGTCTTTGATCTGTTCCAGTTAGTTAATTTTTATATATGGTGTGAGGTAAGGGTCTTGGATAACATTTAGGATGTTTCCAACATTATTTCTTATTTCGTACGAGGCAGAATGGGAGTCTCACTCCCCTATTTTTTTTCTCCCTCGCCTTATTCCATATACCTTATAGGAAATGTGTTTTTGTTTTTTTTGTTTTTTAAGAGTAAAAAGACAGAAAGATTTGCTAATATGGGGGTAGCCAGTATACTCTTTTTTTACTCGATAGTGTCATGTTGCTTTCCCTACATGACCTTTTTTAATTTTTTAGATAGAGTCTTGTTCTGTCACCCAGGCTGGAGTGCAGTGGCACGATCTCGTCTCACTGCAACCTCCGCCTCCCTGGCTCAAGCAGTTCTCCTGCCTCAGCCTCCCAAGTAACAGGATTAAAGACATGTGCCACCACTCTCAGCTGATTTTCATATTCTTAAAAGAGATGGTTTTGCCATGTCGGCCAGGCTAGTCTTGAACTCCTGGCCTCATGTGATCCACCTGCCTTGGCCTCCCAAAGTGCTGTGAATACAGGAGTGAGCCGCCATGCTTGATCAATATTATCTGACTTTTATTT